GTCGTCCCGTGCCCTTCCCCACCTGCTGCCCAGTGTCGTCCCGTGCCCTTCCCCACCTGCTGCCCACGTCGTCCCGTGCCCTTCCCCACTTGCTGCCCAGTGTCATCCCGTGCCCTTCCCTACCTGCTGCCCACGTCATCCCATGCCTTTCCCCACCTGCTGCCCACGTCATCCCGCGCCCTTCCCCACCTGCTGCCCATGTTGTCCCATGCCCTTCCCCACCTGCTGCCCATGTTGTCCCTTGCCCTTCCATACCTGCTGCCCAGTATCATTCCGTGCCCTCAGATGTGTGGGCAATAGAGGCAGAGAGGAGACCACAAAGTATGAGGAGAGGCATACCACTGAGGTTAGCGCCCCACCTCCACATTCTGACACACCAGAGTCACCTCTCCCACAAGGGCTGAAAGGGTTTCCTCATAAGTCCATTCACGGGACAACAAAAATTACTACTCTCTTCTGGCCACACCATCCCAATCAGTCTGCCACTTGCCATGTCCCTTCCCCGTGCCAGGGACCTCACCATGCTGTCTGCCTCCCATGGTCACCCATCTGTCCCCTTGTACAGCCCACCTTTGCAGTGAACTGTCTCAGGGATGCTGGGCAGGAGGACATGAAGCCCAGGGAATCTTGCAGTCAGAAGATAAGAAATTGTTTTCCTCTGCAGTTTCTCCTGTTTCCTTATGGGAGAAGCTTCATCAGGCAGGATCCTTTCTGTGATTCCTGCCTGCCAGAGAATGATATCTCCGGGCATTTTTAGAGCCTTTCGCTTTCCGTCGCCCAAGTAGGTCAGGTGCTGATCAGCATAACCTGCAGGTGCGACCACTGATCCACAGAGAACAGCAGCCTCTTGTTGTCCCCAGACTCCACAGTCCTGTCTCTACACAGATAGGGTTTCTATCAGTCACCAAGCTGCCCTCAAGACACAAACCCCAGGAGCCAGCTGCATGGGGTAACAGCACCAGCGTGGGGCCACCTGCTGCTTGGAGTGGCCGAGAAAACGAGCAGCACACATGTCCTGCTGAGGCAGGGCAGCCACATGCCCAGACCCCCAATCCTGGGGACAGAAGCAGACAGAGCACGGGGTGTCGCCTTCACCTCCCAACTCATCCACCATCCATGCCATTCCTCCGCTGTACCTGGAACCTGGAGTACTGCTGCACGGGGAGAGGGTTTTCCATTGTGTGCCACGCTCCCGATTTTTGAGCCATCTATTTATGGTCAAGTGAAAGGAACTGGGCTTTGAAACTGAACGTCTGTTGTGAGCTCTGTGTAAACCCAGAGCTAGATCAACAGCATGCCAGACAGATAGCCAGCAGCACACTGGCTCAGCACAGGCTTGGTTGTTGCTTCCTTTGCCACAGGAATGTGATTAATCGGGACTTATGTCAGCTGCTCCATGATGCCTGTGCTCCTTGCCCACAGCTATGTCAAGCTGTGCTGCCTCCTACCAAATACGAAGGTGAAGCCACAATTTCCAGAAAGAAAATTTCAACGTGCTCATACTTATTCCAGTGCATATAGCATATACTGAGATACATATCTTCATTAAATCAACTTAGAATATCGTATAATTACAGTCAATATCCACAGATTTCAGAAACCAGGATAAGAACAATAAATTTATTTTAAGATACACATGCAATCCAGTTAAAATGCAATGATCCCTGACAGTGTCATTTTCCTTGTTCATTCTACACTAAATAAAACCAATGAAATACTGTTGATAGCTGGCTTCTAAGACACTTAAAATTTCTGATTCCGAATAGGATTTAAATATTTTGAAGTAGGTGGTTTATTCTTGACAATGTCCTCAGTACTTCCTTCTTTTTTAATCAAAAATTCCGTAACAGTAGTGTACATAATTTCATAGTCCAAGTATAAGTCAAATTTTAAGCAAAGGAAAGGTTAGTTGAGTTTTTCAGAAGTTTTCAAAAATGTATGTCTGAAATTTAGAATGAACCAAATAGAATTTCAGTAGAATTGATTTTTTTTTTTCTTAACCCAGATACTGTCTAATTTGGCCTGTCCATGTGGCACACGGTTTCCAGATTAAACTCTTCTGGAGATTGACAATTTTAGCACAAGAGGGGGAAGTGAGAATCTGTACAACCACAGCCAAGTTGTCTAAGTCAGGCTTGGCCAATCCTCTGTGGCTCGCTGTCTGAGCTGCAGTGGGACCCTAGGAGGCTGTGACCACTGCCCCAGGCAGGGTAGGCTCCCCACCAAGCCCCAGACACAGTATAGGAAGGCTGAGGCAGCAGGGCCTTCTGGTGTCTGCAGGGTGTCTGTCCAGAGGGAGTGCATGTCCCACTTGGGACTACTCAGGACATCCAGGGTGGTGCCCAGGGAGCACCTGGCGCATCTCGGGGAAGCTCCAGGGTGGTGTTCTGGGGTCACCTGGAGCATCTTGGGGAAGCTCCAGGATGGTGTTCTGGGGTCACATGGGGCATCTGGGGAAGCTCCAGGGTGGTGTTCTGGGGTCACCTGGAGCATCTTGGGGAAGCTCCAGGGTGGTGTTCTGGGGTCACCTGGAGCATCTCGGGCAAGCTTCAGGGAGGTGTTCTGGGGTCACCTGGCGCATCTGGGGAAGCTCCAGGGTGATGTTCTGGGGTCACCTGGCGCATCTCGGGGAAGCTCCAGGGCAGTGTCTGGGCGTCTCCCATACTGTCCCAGGAGGCATCCAGGGAGTTGTCAAGGGAGGGCCTGGCAAAGGTCTCAGGGACCCATCCAGAGGGCTGTCCAGGGTGTACCCCAGAAACTGCCCAGGGAGGATTGCTGGAGCACCCAACACATCTAAGTGACATCCAGGATGGTGTCCTGGGAGCACCCTGCTCTGCCTCATACTGTCACCCACTGCACAGCGTAGAGATACAGAAGCACGGGGCGCGGTGCACCTGGCGCATCTGCTGTGCGTCTGCTCCGCTTGGTGCCCTGGGCTCAGCCGGGTTCCCAAGGCCTGACCTGAGACCCCGCCCACTCCGCCCCTCTCCCTTCAGGTGGCCAACCTGCTTCGGCTCTTCCGCATCCCCCAGGTGAGCTACGCCTCCACCAGCGCCAAGCTCAGTGACAAGTCACGCTATGACTACTTCGCGCGCACCGTGCCACCCGACTTCTACCAGGCCAAGGCGATGGCCGAGATCCTGCGCTTCTTCAACTGGACCTACGTGTCCACCGTGGCGTCGGAGGGCGACTATGGAGAGACCGGCATGGAGGCTTTTGAACAGGAGGCAAGGCGCCGGCGGATCTGTGTGGCGGCGGCTGAGAAGGTGGGGCGCTCAGCGCTGCGCCGCTCCTACGACGGTGTGGTGCGAGAGCTGCTGCGCAAACCGGGCGCGCGCGTCGTGGTGCTGTTCACGCGCGGGGACGACTCGCGCGAGCTGCTGGCGGCCGCGCACCGGGCCAACGCGTCCCTCACTTGGGTGGCGAGCGATGGCTGGGGAGCTCAAGACAGCGTGGTACGCGGCAGTGAGCGCGCAGCGCGGGGGGCGCTCACGCTGGAGCTGGCCGCTCACCGTCTGCCGCAGTTCGACCGCTATTTCCAGGCGCTCACGCCTGCCACCAACCTGCGCAACCCCTGGTTCCGCGACTTCTGGGAGCAGAAGTTCCAGTGCAGCCTGCGTGGAGGCGCGCGGCGCGCGTGCTCTGAGCACCTGGCCCTGGACAGCAGCAACTACGAGCAGGAGTCCAAGATCATGTTCGTGGTGAACGCGGTGTACGCCATGGCGCACGCCCTGCACCGCATGCAGCGTGCGCTGTGCCCCAACACCACCAAGCTGTGCGACGCTATGAAGGTGCTGGACGGCCGCAAGCTGTACCGAGACTACCTGCTCAAGATCAACTTCACAGGTGAGGGGCGGGCAGAAGCGACCAGGGCAGGGTGAAGTCCGGGGATGCATCCCGCTGTCCCAGGAAGCCCTGTGTCAGGGCCACAGGACAAGGGGCTGGTCCCCAGGGCGCAGAGCCAAGGGGGTGCCATCTGCATGGACCCCAGCTGGAGCTCAGCTTTACAGGTGAGCGGGTGAGGTGTGTCCCTGGTGGTAAAAGGGGTGAAACCCAGGCATGACCTAGGTACCTGTGCCCCATACAAGGACCCTGTCTGTCAGGGGCACAGGAAGGGCTTGACCTCGGGGTGCATGGGGGGGAAGCCCGGAAGGGATCACCTAATGGAAATGAGCTTCACAGATCAGTGGGCAGCACAATCTGGTGCACAGGGCTGCAAATGCACAGGCAGCACATCTCCTCCACCACTCCCACCCCACCAGTGGCAAGCCCAGGGTTGGGCCGCAGAAGGGCCGACAGCTAATCAGATGTCCGGAGCTGCCTGCAATGCCCTCACTTGTCCTTGAGTGAGCATCTTGGCTACCACACTATGGAAATGAAAGGCCCACATGAGCCGGTGCCCATGGGGTGGGACCTGGCAGTGGCCGGGCGTGGGGCCATGTGTTTGTCAGGAGCTACGGGACACACGTGCAGTATGGCCCTTTGCTCTTCTGAGCATCACTGGTACCTAGTTAAGGAGCACGACTTACAGCCTGCTTCCGGGTGATCTGTGCAAGAGACACTCTCAGCTTTCACAGTGGGCAAAAGACACCCTAACTGTTGCGGAGGCTCATTAGGGACAGCAGGGGGTGCCCAGACCTCGGGGACATCGGGCACAGTGGGTCACTGCTCAGCTGTGAGAGCAATTTGCTGTGGCTCAGAGGAGTTACGGATTTTCTCAGTTTGTGCTATAAGGTGAAGTGGCCTCTCGCAAGCTTCCGTGTGTCCACACCGAGGGCTGGCAGGCATTCTGGCCAGCAGGGGCTTGCGGAGGTGCTTGGGCTATTTCTAAATATGCTCTAAGTAGTTCTAGATATAGCACTTCCTGTAACTGTATCATTAACGTCAGTGAATTCCATAGCCTCGCATTCTCCACTCAGGAGCACCCAAAATCCGCTCATTAATGCACTTGTTCTGGGGACTGTAGCATAATCCCAGCCATGAAGTGGTAAGTACTGAAGTCACTGGGCACAGAAGATTTTGATGCCCAGCCCAGGATAGTGTAGGGTTCTCTGGGCCACAGAGCGTCTCCCCAGTCTGCAGTCTGTTTCCATGGGTGCACATGGGGGTTCCCACCTTGCCCTGCGGGGGCATTGATAAGTCAGGTGGGCTGCGAGGTCATAGGGCTGGTGAATGTTGCCTCAGATTTCAGAATCCTCACCTACCCAACAGTCTGGAAAATAAGCACAAATACGCCATCATGCATTCTTAAATACCTTCTTTTTGGGTGACAAAAGTAGTGGGAGCCAATTAGGTCGGTATTCTGCCTTCCTCGTCTGATAAGTACAACCTCTTGCTATTGAAAGGATTATGGAAAGCAGGAAAGAGCAAAACGTGAGGGTTCTGTATCCACAGGTATAAGGACTTGTATAGAAATGACAAAATATGAAAGCAGTAGGGAATTAGTATTTGTCTCAAAACCCTAAGTCAGTCCCAAGACTAAACCTTGGGGTTAGCTAAAAAGGGTATTTTATCAAGTGGACTCAGTCACCCATAAGTAGCATCCACAATGCACTGAAGTGCTGCAGACAGCTGCATGCTGCAGGGGCCTCAGCCTCAGCTCATGCAGCCCTCCGTCTGTATTCACTGCACGCACTGCTTTGGTTGTTCTGGTTTGTTCCTTGCTCCTTAGTACGAGAATCCACAACAACAGCCACCCTTCCACACAAAACCAAGTGATCTCAGGCTTCAGGCAGCCCTTGCGATTGGCTTTATGGAACTCATACATTTTGCTTCATCTGACTGCTTGGCACTGGGAGGCAAAGAACAATGAAAGTGTAAGGCCATTATTTGGGTAAATAAAACAGAGTGTCTTCATTTTATCTGTCCTGTTCAGTTACTGGCTTTGGTTCTAGAATCAGGCTTGGCTGTGCAGACCTGACCACAACGTGCTATTTTAACCGCTCTATTTGTTAGACATTGCTTTCATTTTCCAGCTCTGAAGAGAGAAGGAGAGAAGCAGAGAAGCAGATTTTAACCCAAGAAATTAGAAGGAATTTAAAGCTGCCACAAGATGAACATGCTTAGCAATGAGAATCAGACACGAAAATTCACTGGAAACATAAACGCACAGCTGTGGGAGGGCATTATAATACTCAATTAGCTGGACAGTATGTTATGAGAATAAACAGGAAGAGCTGACTGCAAGAATCCAGCATCTCTCTGCGTGGTGTGTGTATGTGCATGTGTGTCAGAATATACATATATATATATATATATATATATGTAAATGTATATTATTTTATATGTTAGAATGTAGATTTAGAATACCAATTCCAGCACCCAGTAATCTGTATATAACCAAGTGCATGCATATACTTAACTAGGTATTAAATAGGTATTTAAATCAGTATTGGGTCATATAGATGCCATGCTACTTCCTTAGAATTGGAACATACCAAGAGGTTTTTCTTTGTTAGATATTCTAAAGAGGTGTGTTCTGGTATCATGACTGCTGACGCATGGGTGAGGCACAGCAGCAGACGCCCAGCAGATGCTTCAGTGTGTTCCAGGGGCTGAAAGAGTCCTCCGAGGAGGAACAGCAGCCCTCCTCCCTACGGATGAGCTCCAGGCCTCCTGAGGTTCTGACTGCAGGTGAGCTTCCTCTCAGGGCTGCGCTGCATCCCAACCAGGTCACATCCACATTACCCAGTGTCGGCGCTGTGTGAAGCTAACCCAAGGGACATCCCAGAGCAATACTTGGGCTCAGTTCCTCCTAGCAGAGCTTGCACGGAGGACTCTAATGGCTGCCCACTGGACTGGGGGAGCTGGGTGGGTGGCCATCTCCTCCCCCATGCCTCCACCCGTCCAGCTGCCTGGGTGTCTTGCTGCCCCTGCCTTCAGTCAACACCCAGAGTCTGGCCATTTCTCATCCCACAAGTCCTCACGGGGTCACAGCCCTACCTTTCTGCCACCTGTTGGCTGATGGGCTCCTGCCCACTTTGAGGCAGCCACCATCTGTTCTTGCAGGGCTCAGGATGCCCCTCTGTCTGCAGGGCAGGGCAGGGCAGGGCAGGGCAGTGTCCACACCGGGCCACACCCTTGGGGACACCCACATCACTGTGGTCACAGCCCAGTGCTCCCGTGCCTGCAGGACCTGTGTGCTGCCTGCCCAGTCCTGGGACAGTGCTGCCTACCCCTGAGCCCTGCTCCCCTGCTCTGACCTCAGAGCATCCCCGTTGCCCCTCTGCCTCTGAGGCTCCCTTTCCCACTCCCTTCTTCCTGCCATTATGGATGTACCACCTTCTCGGGAGACCTGCTCTGCCAGTCCTGAGGTGGCCATGCCCTCCTCCCAGCTGCTGTTACGGCTGCCCCATCCCTGTCACCTGCCAGCACTTGCCGTATCCTGGCATGTCTGCCATGCTTGTTGTTTCACCCTCAGACCGCTAGAACCGCCATGAATGCAGGAGCCACTATCGATTCTGCTCCCCAGTGTGCCCAAGCAGGACAGTGTGCAGCGAGCTCATGTGCAGCACCCACATCCAGACTCACACACTCTTCCTGTGTTGTTATGGGCTGTGCGCCCATGAGGTACAGAGCCCAAGCCCCTCGGATGTAGGTCCCAGCATGGCATCCTGCACACAGCAAACGTTACATAAATGTTTACTGAACAAACAAAGAATGGGAAAAATAATCAATAGACTAATCATGATCCCTGTGTACAAATTTAATATATGTTTTATTCATTAACAAATGAATTTCCAAAACAGGCTACAGTACACTCTGTGAGCTCTGAAGTGGCCTGCTTTTGCCTAAACACTGCTTTAGTTAAGTTGTTTCATTGCCTTTAAGACAAACACAAAGTGAGATACCCTGCAGCTTGAAGCGCTCTGTGGCCCCATATAGAGAAAGACTCCAGCTTGAAAGCGATTTTCTTCAGGCCCCATCTGGTTGGGGCGGGACCAGGCTGGAAGCTACCTTGCAAACTGAGTGCCACTTTTGAAAGCGCAGGCATTCTGGAAAGGTGAGGACCTCCATCTCCAGTGCTGGGCAGAGCGCTGCCCATGCCAGGCTGGAGCATGATGCTCACCAGAGGATGAGGTGAGGGTCAGGACACGGTTCCGTGTGCCTCTGTAATGCTCTTGGGCCACTCCCCGCAAAAGCAGCTGTTCATGCAACTAAGCTTTCCAAGGCAAGCCTAAAATGCAAAACTTAGCATGTTTTCTTAATTTTTAGAAGCATTTTTCAGTTAGTAAAATCTTTCCATGGGAAAGAGTAGTCATGTCCAGAATCCTCAAGTAGGTCTTCACATAAGAATGGTAGTGGGAGGGGCCTGCCCCCGTAGCTCAGTTCTTTAAATGGCTGCTTCAACAAAACAGTCAGGCTCAGGTTACTGTGGTTGATCCCTACAACTCAAGCTGCCAAATCTGCCCTGAAGGCATTCGGAGAAAAAAAAAAAAAATGGTACTGGGGGCTGTGGCCTCTGCAAATTACTTTGAGAAGAACTCTGCATCCTCCCAGCTTAAAAGGAGAGTGTGAGCTCCCCAAGGCAGTAAGAAGCACCACACCCTTCACTTCTCACTCTGAGACGACCCAGCGTGGAGACCAGAAAAGGCCCCGGAGTTGCAGAAGGGCTGCTGCTCTGTTTTGATCTTGGTCTCTTTGACTGGAAAATGGTGATGTATCTTGTTCAAGCACATAGCCGGGCCTTGGAGACCGGCCTGAGGGCCAGGAGGACATGGCCCTGTGCCTTCAGGACCAGCAGGTACAGTAGGTGGACGTCTGCGCTGGTGTTCTTCCTCCCCCCACTCCCCTCAGGGCACAGTGAAGAGCCGGATGCCTGCAGCAGGGCCTAGAGCCCACAGGGT